GTAGATCTCTCTCTCTCTCTCTCTCTCTCTCTCTCTCTCTCTCTCTCTGCGTGACAACTTCTCTAGATGAAGTTTGTTGTCAGCCTCTGCTATTTCACTCACTTTGGGAGCAATTTTACATGCAAGACATCTACAATGCCCGGCAAACTTACATAGCTATTTACATAATTTATTACTTAATTTACATAGTCACTATTTAAAGCTACTTTATTTATATAGTTTATTTACATAGTATAAACTTAGTTTTATTTTTCTTCATGCCATAGTTTCAGCATAGTTAATCTACAACAGAGTTATTTTACGCCATAGCTGATTTAAAAATTTACAACATCATTCTTAATTAGCTAATTTCTAATTATTGTACACATAGCTTATTTACACCATATAGCTTTGATTTTATTACATGAAGCTAATTTCAAAGATATATAAATAAGCTTATAAGGTGTAAAGAAAACTTTCCCAACAAAGGAAATTAAGACAATGCGATATCTATCTCTTTTTTTCTCTTTGGGTTTTTTAACATTCAAAGGAAAAAAGAACCCTAAAATATTCAATGATTAACAAACATCTAGACAGGAAAAAGACATTTCAATATTCATGTATTTTTGTAAAATAATTAAAATACATAATGCATTACCCCAATTGTTTTTTTGAAACTCAAAAAACACTATTTTAAGGGATTTTTAGTGCTTTTTTGAAAACTTTTAGGCTCAAACTGGTTGATTCTCCGATCCTGTTGTTGATCCACCGATCGAACCCGGTTTTAGGAGTGGCCGATCCGGTTCACCGATCCGTTTGTTTAAGCCTTGGTTTGAACCAGTGGTTTAAAAAACAGATCGGTGCCCCAGATCGGGCACCCCAAAAACCCATCCGGATCGGTGAATCGGCAATCCGAATCAGGAATCGGCCAAATTGGTCGGATTAAGCCTTAAAAAAATCCAAAAAAATTATTAAAATTCATTATAAATGATGTTTTATAGGAATCCAATAAGAAATGAGGGTACTACATTATTAACTTTCATTTTTTTCATCAATATATGAATATTGAGATGTTCTTTCCCTGTATGAACTTATGTTAACCATTAAATTTACATCACACAAAAGAAAAATCATAGAATTCTCATGGATGAAGTATATAATCATACATGGACTACAATAAAGAATGGATTAAATCGATGAAAAAATGGCCACCAAAATCTCGAATTTGCAGAAAACCTTAATCAGCTAAAAAAAACCAAATTATTACAACCTAACTAACTATAATATTATATACTGAAATTGAAATTGTTGGTTTACATTTTATAGTTATTTTATTATACAAATAATAACAAATCCAAAATATCTTATAATATCATCTAATTTAAAATGTATTATTGACAACTGTAAGAAAAAATAGTACATCACATAATTTATAATGCAAATAAATTAAAATAAATAAAATAAAAGATTTGATTATCAATGTAGAAATAAATTCTAAAGTGGTATGAGTTAATGTTATTTTTCTCTCTCAAAATATCCTTTAAACTAATATTTTTTAATATTCAATAAACTAGAATTAGTATTTTTTTTTTTTTAATATCCTATGAGCTAATACTAATTTTTAATCACAATTAATTACTAAATTAATTATTAATCATATAATGAAATAATCCCATGAGATAATAGCCTAATAGAGTTTTTAATAATTTTTTCCTTTTCTTATCATATAATTTGATTACTACCATCGGGCATACACCGTCGGGCGTACACCGTCAAGCATGCACCGTGGGGCACACCATTGGCTTTTTATATTTAAAGTTCAAACGTTATTAAAACCTCACATGTTACAGTGTTAGTAAAAAGCAAAGGTGTATATATAAGAATTGTCCCACATCGAAGAGATGTGGGATGAAGAAGCCCCATAAAACAAGCAACCCAAGTGTTTGTGTTAGGTGATTATGTGAAGAGGGCCACGTGTAAGTGGGTTGGTGTATGAGAATTGGAGCATGCTGATGTAAGCAGGTGGGGGTCGTGTAATTCAAATTTTTAATAGAAAAAATCAAAAATAAAAAAAATAAAAAAAAATTATTGCGTCGATCACACTGTAGCGACTCGCACGATTTACTATAGCGAGACCGCCGATTTTCCTGAAAATCGTCGTTTCAGCTCTAGATTCGTCCGATTTGCGGTATTTCATAGGAAGCAGCACGCAGTGGCCGATTCCCATGTCGACCCAGGTGATTCCAGGTCGACTCACCGATTCTTAAACCCCTGGTTTGAACCAAAAAGAATTTATACCAAGAACTTTAGAGGTTCAGACTCTCAATGTTCTTAAATCTTTGATGAGTCAAACACAAAATCAATATATGTTGTGCCCCTTTTTATCTTTCGTCCTAATATTTCTATCCTTACTAAATTTGATGAATGAATGAGATCAGCTAGGAAGTTAAGGAAAATGCACACCAATTGCACCCTATACATTCCACAAATAAACACACACACACACACACAAACAAAAAAAAAAAAAGCAATGCACACATGGTGATTACACACAAAAATTTACGAGAACCATAATTAATTAAAAAATGAAAGCACACAAGTAAAACATCAATGCACATCTTTAGTTATCCAAAAAACCCTTAAAATTGAACTGATTATATTATTGTTGTTGTCGTCATCATCGTCGTCGCCATCGTCATCATCATTATCATCCACAAATTCAAATTTAAAGGAAATCCCAAACAAATAAAGGCTAAGGTCTCTCATTAAAGAATTCAATGACAACCCAGCTATTCACAAGAAAACCAAGCATGTAAACGTAATGATCTATCTTCATCACATCTCCAAGACCAGCATGGCACAAATTTCTACACGAGCTCCATCGTTTTCTTTCTCCCCCCCCCCCCCCCACCCCGCCCCCCTTTTTTTTTTGTGGTTAATTAATGACAACATTGATACACATGTATACATCCTTTACAAAAGTAAGAAATTTCTTTACAAAATTGGACTATGAAAGTTTAGCATAGTGAATGTTAGCACCTACTCAAAATTCAAAAATTTGAAATCACAAGCGAGTATTCTACACTATGCGGTCCAAAGGTTTATAGCATTCATCTTAAAGATGGATGCAAATAGGTGGTCCATCTAAAAACAAGTGTAACTACCGGTCCAAATGTTTTCTTAATATAATTATTATTTCTAGTTTTCAATTTTTTTTTTTTTCATATTCATGATCTCCAATTAAAGATTACAT